TATGTATGTGTATGTATATATATATATATATATATATATATATATGCATACATATATATATATTCATATTCATTTATGGATGCTGCCTGGTATGTAAAGGCTGCTAAAACAAGTTATCTTTTAAGTTAGTGCAAAGTGAAGGTCATATAAGAACGTACATGGTTTGGTTATTGTATGTTTACAGTGGCAATAGACCTTATAGTGCACCACATCTGGGACATTTTGCGTTTGAAAAAGGCTGAAAACTCATCCAGGCAGCATCCATACATCTATCAACATAGGCGTACTTCGACTAACTCATCCGAAACGCTCAGCAGATGATTTTAGCATGATATGCGCACTTATAAACATTACACTTTGATATACTATATATTGATGTAGGATAAAGTTTGCAGTAATCTTAAATCTTTTTCTTTTTTAAATACAAAATATATCTCTTATATACTTATACAATCGTATTTATATTACATTTATACTAAGTCGCAAACAATATTGCTTCTAGTATGTATGTACTTATTAAATCATTATCTTACTTAGGTAAGATTTCACTATTCCTAAAACTAGGATATAGTGTATAATTATACAAAATACCTCGTTTAAATATTAAATATTCCAATATTGCATAATTATTCAAGTTTACTCATAAGATTGCTCTATGTTAAAAACAATTTAGTATTATTTACTTATAAGAATCATTATGAATATACAATGTATATAAAATTATGTATGTTTTCAAAAATTTAGCTTTTTTTACATAATGTTATTTCTCAATTAATAATTATTTTATGCAACAGTATATAAATTGAAATTTTATAATTTAAGCGAACATAAGATATTTCCTAGTATAATTCTTTGAATAATGTGATATTTTTAGTTTAAATTAACATATTATTCATATACTGCCATATTCAAAAACATTTAATTGCATTATTCAATATGGTGCTATTCCGTTTATTCAATATTTATATTTTTCATATGCTCAAATCATTTTAATCTCAATTAAATCTTCATTATTATACAAATTAATTATAATCTGAATTATGTAATTTGATACATTGTTTATTTAAACTGTATAAGTGAAGTAATAATAAAGAAGTTACGTTCCCCATTATTACAAAATTACTTTCACTCATTTATATGAACTTTATATTTTGTTACAGTGGCAATAGATTTGATAGTGCAACATATAAGAGACTTCTTAAGCAACAGAGGTAGAGTTACAATCCAACCTGAAAGTTCAGTAAACAGGACAGAAAAATTATCTAAGAGGCCACATTAATTTTTAAAATTTTAAAAATCTTAAAAATATTAAATGAGTTATATTGTATTTTTTTTTTTCAATAATCATGTTTTCAATATCATAATTCTATATTAAGTTAATAATATAGTTGAAATGATAATTAAATTTCAAAAAAAATATACTATAAATTATATTTTTTATTCAATTTTAGTATTATTTATATATAAAAATTTAAAAGTTATTAAAATACTACATTTTATAGTTCAACAAAAAATATTTCTAGATATATTTCAATTTATAAAAATAATTTAGCAATATTTAGATATTAAATAGCAATATTAAATAGTAAATTTCTGGATTGTAAACACTCATTAGTATCAATAATTTAAATTAATTATTTGTTTTTGCTGTTGTATAGTTATTATATATATATTTGTTTTAATATAATTTATGTTCATTAATTGTATAATAATTACATACATTATATATGTAAATTGTATAAAATGCAAAATCAAAAGATGCTTAAATATATAAAATTTATTATTGTTATTATATATATATATATCTCACATTAATTTATACAATGTTAAATATTAATTATTGATAATAAAGTTCTAAATTCATGCCATCATGAATTTCATCTGATTTGCTAAATTAAAGAAAATATAATATTAATAGTTATTTTATTGAAAATATATTTTATTTGAAAGGATACAATCTTGTAATTTTATATGATCCTTATATATAGTATACCATTTTTTTAAAACAATTTTTTCCCAATGAGTTCCAGTTTGAGCTGCTATTAATTTTTTTAAATCTCCTATTGTGTCATCTGGATTACATTTAACTCTAACTTTTTTTCCAAGCCGATCATTGCATGTTATTTCTAACATTTTTTTTATTTTTGATTGCTTGTCAAAATAAATAATTATTCAAAATGTTAAAATTAATCAAAATGTGAATAGAATTCAAAATTATTTTTAAATGTTACTAAAAACAATAATCAATAAATATAATTAATAAAAACTAGATTTTCTATTAATTATATATTTCTTATTAATGTTAATGAATATATACTTATATTAATAAAAGTTAGATATTTAAAACTATATATTTATTAATAGTATAAAATAACCTATATATAATTTTAAATATATAATTTATTTCTTTAAATTAAATGATTATTTAAAAAAGAAATCTTGAATTATAGAAATATCCATCATAAAAATTGTTATATTATAAATATTAATAATTTTGTAAATTATGAAATATTATTAGAATGAACAAAACGTTTTTAATTTTTCCTCATTTACTTGTATATCTTGTAACGGTTTATAGTATATATAATATTTCTTGTTCAAACATAAATTTTTCCAATATATATATGATATTTACTTACTATTTATTATATTAATGTTACTAAAAAATAAATTTTATTTGTGCGTATTTTAAAAAGAAATACTTCGATTCAAGTTGCTCATAATCGAACTTCTAAATTATTTTATGTATACATTTAAGTATATTGATACCAATCAGTGTTAGAAAACTCACAATGTTAATATTAAAGGTATGTTTACACGTAATATTAAAACTCATAATTTTATCTTATTTATCCAATTACCCTAGTTATGATTGAAATTATCTTATAATATTTATAAAAAAACATTCTTTTTCACACAAGTTTTTTACAAATTTATTAAGAACATGAAAATATATATATGTTATTTAATATTTAGAAAAAATAATTTTATTTATAATATACAATATTTTGATATATTTATAGAGCATCTTTAAATGAAAATAAATATTGGAATAAATGGAATAAATGGAAATAATTACAAAAATTGACATACAAAAATGTTAGTTAATAAAAATTTAAGTTATTAAATTATAAACAATTTAAATTTATTTTACATTACAATTTATTAAATGAAGTAAAGATAGAATGAAAGAATAGCATAAAAATTATAATAATAATTATCTCATCTCTCATAAAACTCTTATTTTATTTAACTTCAATTATATCTTAATAAATAAACTCCAATATTTTTATATGCTAATTTTTAATATTTACTTTGGTCTCTAGAATCGATCCTTCAAAGATGTCCGACAAATATATTAATATTCTGTACATATTTTTTATGTTCATTTAAATGTGCTGTTATATATTACATCACTAAAAATTCGATGAATATTCTTCTTACAATTTTTTTATATCTAACTTTAAAGAAAATTTCATAGCATCAGCAGCAGAAATAGTTTCTAGAACTATTTCAAAAATATCCGGTGAATATTTTATTGCAGAAGAACTTATTAAATGTTCTCAAATTTTTGAAGAACTAAGAAAACTGAATCGATTCTTACATCATTCGAAATAAAAAATTTTTGTTCATACAAACTTAGATAATTATATATATTTATATATGTATTCATATTATTTTATTTTATATATGTATGTATATATATATATTTGTTGAAATAATTGAAAGATATATAAATTATTATTATGGAAAAACAATAGAAATTACCAACAATAGAATAAATAAATTAAAATCAACATTCTTTGAAAATGTTCCGGATAATAATGTTGAATTGGATATTGAAAATATAAAAAAAAAACTATAAAAAAAGAAGAAACTTGTAAAGTTAAATTTGTTTTTTAATAATTTCGTAGAAGTAAAATAAAACATAGTAATTTATTTTATTATTTTTTGTTATCTAGTTAGTAATTATAGTTATTTATGATTGAAATTACTCTTTTATTATTAGTTATTGAGAAACGTCATTTTTTTTATAAATAGATAATTTAATAAAAATCAATATTATAATTTGGTTCATAAAAGATATTCACGAAGTATATTTAATTTATTCAAATCAAATTAATATAAAAGATGTTAATTATTTAAATAAAGAAGTTGGTAAGGGAATACTAAATTAATCATTTAAATAAAGAAGTTGGTAGTAGAATATTAAATTGAATGAGAATTAATTAATACAGATAATGTTATTCATATATATATTGATAATATATATTATCGATATTCATCACGTTTAATTTATTTTTTACAATAAAATATTTTAGATTTATAGGATAAAGTAATTTCAAAAAAAAGAATACAGGTATAAAAAAATATATTCGCATATTCTTGATATCTTCTGCCATTATTGAATTCATGTTCAACGATGGCGGATGCAGCAGAACTTCCCGGCGCTTCCACTCAAAAAATGTCGTCAAAACTTTTAAGGCAAAAAGCACAAGAATTTTTAACTTCAAGAAAACATGCAAATAATTTAGTAGATATAATTTCTCAATGGGATGTAAGTACAAATTCTAAAACCATTTCAAAATTCATGAATGTATCAACTTTTTAAGGTTATGTCATTTATTAAAATTCCTGATCACTCTATCAGGAATCCACTTTGTCTTGTCTACTTACGATAGAAACAATATTTGTCGAAGTTTTGAAAAGAGGTGACATGTATTTGGAGCGTACAATATCACTTACTATTTCAGGTATGTTAAAATTTATATATAAAATTTAATATTTTCCAATTAATTGTGTGTGTGAACAGTATTTGATATTTTTATTAATTTTTAAATTTCATGGTAAGAATTATAAATTTTTACATGTATGATACTTTGTGAAAAAATATTTTGGACACAAAGTTAAATGTAAAGATATATATATATTTTGATTTTGTACATGTTTAAAAACATGGAATAGCTTTTCCATAAGATTTATGAAACAGAGCCAAGTCCTGAAGCAAGATACATCAACTGGTTGAGGAACTGTTACGAAGAAATATGGGAAAAAATACTTACATCAATGGAAAAATGTCGACCTGCCATTCAATTACAAGCTCTTACTACTGCTATAAAACTTATGGCTGAGGAAGGTAAAAATCCATTGGAACCAATTGGCAATTTGGGATATTATTTTCCATTACATCGGTTAAAGCCTATTTTAATGAAATTGCTTTCGCCGGAGAAGGACAATGCTGGTTTAATATCTAGATTTCAAGAAATTATAGAATATCCTGATGCTCTTTATTATACGTGGAAATGTCTTCCATCTCTTACTCCAAAAAGACAACCACATGAAATTTATATTAAAAATTTGCTTGAACTTATACATAAACTATCACTGCCAAAGGAAATTGAAGGTATAAAATAAATTAAATTAAATAGATTATATTTTATTATATTTAGAATTAATTTCTAATAATTGTATTACAGAAAATGAGATATCTGAAAATAAGAATTTATTATGTAAACCACATCAAGGTAATAAGGATATAGGTGTTATGCTTTTTTTTTTATATTTAGTTAATTTTTATTTTATTTTTAATTTAAATATATATATTTTTTTTTCTAGCTACTAAGAATTTTATATGGGATCAAGCTGGAGCAAGACG